GCAGGCAGGGTCTGCACAATCTGGATGGAGGGCACAGTCTGGGGGGGGCATGACCCCTGGTGCAGCCACCGCAGGGAGCACTTGGACCATCTGGGAGGCGGGCGCTGCGGGCACCCCCACAGGGGCGGACACCGGGCCAGGTGCTGGCGGGGCCAAGAGCTGCAGTGTGGCGGCGCCTCCTGCCACGCTGCTGTTCTCCAGCAGGTCGGCAGCTGGGGCGCTGCGGATGAGGAGGAGTTTCTGTCCGGATGGGCCAGTGGCCGCTGGCTCTGTGAGCCCCGGGGAGAGAGTTTCCACCTCCTGCACACAGAGCCTGGTCTGCTCGCCATCCGCTCCACTCAGCACCAGCACACTCTGCAGCCCCTCATCTGTCTGCAGTGTCTCAAACACGACATCCTGGACCATACCAGCGCCGGTCTCACTGTCCCCCACTTCCCCGGGTCCAGGGCCGGCCAGCAATTCTTCAGCTGCCCCACTCTGAACTACCAGCAGGTTTGGAGCCTCTGCAGCCACAGCTCCTCCACTAGAATTGGAGACTTGGCCTGCCAGGGGCTGGAGCTGGACCGTGGCCACTTCCTGTGCTGGCTGCAGCTGGACCGTGGCCACTTCCTGTGCAGGCTGCAGCTGGACCGTGGCCACTTCCTGTGCTGGCTGCAGCTGAACCCCACTCACTTCCTGTGGCCCTGTCTCCCCACTCCCTACATTCTGCAGAACAATGAGGCTCTGCCCTCCCCCGCTGGCCCCTGCATTGCCACCTCCCTGCAACCCCAGACCACCTGGGCCGGGAAACCACACTACCCCTGACCCCTGTCCAGACTTCCCTGCAGCCCGAGGGCCCTGCCTTGCCGCACTAGTTCCCGTACCCCCAACACTGGCAGGAGGCAGCAGGATGAGCTTAGGGGGTGGAGGAGGTGGAGGAGGGGTAGGGGGATGCACACTGCTAGGTATCAGCTGGAGGCCCTGGGCAGTCTGTACCAGGAGAAATGTCTGAGAACCAGGGGTGACTGGGCCTGGGGGCGTGGCCTGAGCGGTGCCCCCAGCCACTTCGAGTGAAAGTGTAGCCTGTAGGCGGGGGACAACATGAACATCTTGGGAGGCCAGTGGAGTTGGAGCTGCGGCCAATGGGGCAGGGGGCTGAGATGCGGCAGGGCCGGCGGAGCCTGATGTTGCGGTGGCTGGGGTGTGAGTCCTCAAATGCCGCTGCAGGTAGGCAGCCATGACAAAGCCTCGGCCACAAACGGGACAGGCAAAAGGACGCTCGGCAGAGTGAGTGCGCTGGTGCAGCAGCAGGTTGGAGGAGTGTGTGAAGGTCTTGGGGCAGAGCGGGCAGCGGAAGGGCCGCTCGCCCGTGTGCACCCGCTGGTGCTGCCGCAGGTTGGAGGTCTGTGCGAAGCTCTTGCCGCACACACTACAGGCGTGGGGCCGCTCGCCGGTGTGCACGTGCCGGTGGCGCCGCAGGCACGAAGTGTTACGGAAGGCTTTGCCACACTCACTGCAGGCATAGGGCCGCTCGCCCGAGTGAAGGCGCAGGTGGTACTGGTAGTGGGACGACCACTTGAAGGTGAGGCCACACTGGCCGCAGGTGAAGGCCCGCAGGCCCGTGTGCCCTCGCTGGTGGATGGCCAGCAGGGAAGAGCGCTTGAAAGCTTTGCCGCGCTCCCCGCACTGGTAGGGTCTCTCGCCTGTGTGGTCCCGCAGGTGGTAGCGCAGCCCTGAAGAACCCTTGAAGGCCTTGCCACACTCTGCACATTTGTACGGCCGCTCAGCGGAAACAGGGGCAGGCGGGGGAGGCGGTGGGGCAGGAGTGGCTGGGGCTAGAGGCTCCTGGGGACAGGTAACCTCTGCAGCCTCAGCCTGAGGGGGTGGGCGCCCAGCTGCCGCCTCTTCCACGTGGCACTGCTGGTGAGCCAATAGGCTGGCCAGCTGTGGGAAGGCGCCATCGCAGCTGCCACAGCGAAAAGCCTGCCCACTGGCAGCGCCGTGGCTGTGTTGATGGCGGGACAGACCAGCCACGGTCCGGAAGGACTTCCCACAAGGAAGGCAAGCAAAGTTTGGAGGGCCTGTGGTGGCCGGTGTGGGCTGTGGCAGAGGGGGGTCAGCCCGGGGCAGCTCGGCAGGTGCATCCTGGGGCTGGGTAGCCACGGTGGGGCCTGGGCACGGCTGGTGCTCCAAGAGCAGCTCCTCACTGCTGAAGCCCTGTTCGCAGCCATCGCAGCGGTACACCAGCTCCACTGTGGTCTCGGCAGCAGCCAGAAAGAGCTCGGGCACCACGGGTGTAGGCTGGGGTGGTGGGGCTGGGGGCGCGGGCGGGCTGCGGGGCTGCAGATAGGCCTCAGAGACCAGAACCTTGGTGCCAGCTCTGCTGCTCTCTGCCGCTGGGGCGGGAGTGGGGCCAGGGGCGGGGCCGTGAGTGCGGTGGTGCAGCAGCAGGTTGGAGGAGTGTGTGAAGGTCTTGGGGCAGAGCGGGCAGCGGAAGGGCCGCTCGCCCGTGTGCACCCGCTGGTGCTGCCGCAGATTGGTACTCTGCGTAAAGCTCTTGCCGCAAATGCCGCAGGTGTACGGGCGTTCTCCGGTGTGCACGTGCCGGTGACGCCGCAAGCTGGACGAGTTCTTGAAAGCCTTGGGGCAGTCGGGGCATGGGTAGGGCCGCTCACCTGTGTGCTGGCGCAGGTGGTACTGGTAGTGGGACGACCACTTGAAGGCCAGACCACACTGGCCGCAGGTGAAGGCCCGCAGGCCCGTGTGCACACTGCGGTGGATCTGCAACAGGGAAGAGCGCTTGAAGGCTTTGGGGCAGTCGGGGCACTGATAGGGCCGCTCGCCTGTGTGGCCCCGTTGGTGGTAGAGGAGGGCTGAGGAACCCTTGAAGGCTTTGGGGCAGTCTGGGCACTTATATGGCCGTTCACCCGTGTGTGTGCGCTGATGGTGCAGGAGCCGAGACGACCACCGGAAAGACTTGCCGCACTCTCCGCACTCATACTGGGCAGCAGGGGTGGGTGCTGGGGCGGTGGAGCCTGGCTTTTCCCCAGTTCCCTCTGTGGTGGAAGCTGGCGCCATGTCTACGTGGGAGCCGGCCATCACACCTGGTGGAAGGTTTCTGATCAAAGTGGGCAAGCACAGGGCCACACCACCACTCACACAGGTTCAAGGAGGAGGAGGCAGCCTCCTATGTTACCCACACTGTAGGGGCTCTCCCTTAGGGTCAGAGTTTCAAATTACTTCGGTTTTACACACGTCATCATAGACTAAGGGAGGAATACAGGGGTAACTGGGGTGTGAAACTTCTCAGCAAACTAGCTCCTCTAAGAAGCAAACAGGTCCCAAACAGGGTGGTGTCTATAGCCTATAGCTGGAGCACTGCCTTCAGGTCGACACTGGCTCCCTCTGACAATATTGCCTTGGAAGAAGGAGGCTTTGCCTGCTGCCTGTTTTGAAGACCTAACCCCTACCTTTCTCAACCTCAACACCGGTCATCACCATGCCCATACCCTGAAACAGTTTAGGGTAAGGAAAGCCACTGAGTGATCAGAGCCTCGGGCATCACACTCCGCCACCCACTACCACCCCCATCCCTAGTGATGATGTCCTGTTCCTGCAGGATCTGCAACCTCCCTCCATCATTACCAGCCTCATGCACTCACCTAGAGAGGCACACCCTTCCTGTCTCACTGTGCACACATTTGTGCCCACAGCTCTAAGCACTCCCCATGCTTCGCAGCTCACACAGCGCTTTCTCTGGTCCTTACAGTTCCTCAGTAGCAACCCTTGGCGTGTTTCTTCCCCCCTGAAATCCTCTTGCTTCCCTGTTCTTAGCAGGTGACCTTGCCACCGGCCATGACAGTGACTCGAAAAAGAAAAGCAACCAGAACAGAATGTTCTCATGCTCCAATCCCTGCACCAGTGTTCCCAAATGGGCCAACTGTCTTCCCACTCAGGGGACATCTCATGATGTCTGGAGACACTCCCTGTGGCTTGTCTTTCAAGTGCAGGGACAGAGGTACTTCTCAACACCCTACAGTGCACAGAAGGAATCCCCACAAACATCTAGTTCAAAATAGTAGAAGCACAAGGCTGAGAAACTAGGGTTCCCTCCACAAGCTGCCCTGTGCCATGGCCTCTGACCTTCCATAGCATCCTCCAGCAGTATGCTTCTCACCTAGACCATTCCCAGCAGCAAACACAAAGAAACAACACCCCTTGCTTCACCTCTCTCCAGCCCTTTATGGGTCAAGAGGATCAACCTGCTCTAACCTGCTCTTCCCCTCCAGAAGCTCTTCCCCTCCAGAAGCTCTTCCCCTCCAGAAGCACTTCAGTCACCTGCAGGCCCACGCACCCCAGCTCCTTACCGCTGAGTCTTTCTTTTAAGCTTATCTCCTAGCTTCAGATGGCTGACTCTCCTTCCTGTCACTACCTTAGCCTCCTCTGCTCCACAGACTTGGTGTGCTGTGCCTAAGACATCTCACACTCAACCACACTCTAACTCCAGGTCTTTCCCCCTCTATGCCCTCCTATTAAAAAACTTAAAAGTAGGGCTGCAGGTGCAATTCTGTGGGTGTAGTACCTATCCAACAGAAAGTGCTAGGCTTGAGCCCCAGCACTGCATAAACCAGGTACGGTGACACAGAAGGCTGAGACAGGAAGATGATGAGTGTGAGGCAAGCCTGCGTAGCAGTCAAACCTATTGAAAACAGAAGACAAACCCCTTTCAGGAGCCCGCTGACTGCTCATGACTGGCAGCCTGTTCCCCTCTTGCCTCCTGTCCCTCTGGTCTTTCAACCAGGCAGAGGAAGCTACCCCCACCTTGGGATTCCTGCCTAGTACCCCTTCACTCCACCATCCACAACCCACTCTATCACTTCCAAGTCTTTGCTGAAATCACCCAGGATACTTCCTCAAACAACCCTACTTAAATCCCTTCAGCACTCTTTCTTCTCTATTCCCATCCCCTTCTTCATGGGGCTCTTCACCTTCTAAGTACTATACAACCAGGATTTCGCTCTTCATTTTGTTGTTGTTGTTTTTGAGGAGGGCTTCTGTGTATAGCCCTGGCTGTCCTAGAACTCACTCTGTAGACCAGGCTTGCCTCTGCCTCCCGAGTGCTGGGATTAAAGATGTGCGCCGCTGCCGCCACCACCACCACCATCGCCGCCACCACCACCCTAGCCAGAATTTCTCAACCTCATCAGCACAGAGATTTGGGGGATGGGTTATTCTTTGTCAGAGGGGCTGTCTAACATGTTTGGGTGTTTGGCGGGATTCCTGACCTCCACGGGATGAATGAAACCAATAGCAAACACAGTGCCAGCTTGACCCTTTCCCTAGTACACCTTCAAAGTGTACTGCAATGGTCCCCAGGATGGTCCCTTTTACTGCTTATTTTATTCTATTCCTGTTCACACCATCAAAACAGGGAACCTCTGCCTTCTTCATTGTTGCATCCCAGCACCTACCAAAACATGAGCTGAGTGCATGCTCAGTGGATACAGTTCTCATGAACAGAACAGATTAGGCATCCCCTTTGACAGTCTATGAAGCATTCCTTTCTTAAAGGGCAGGTGTCACTTTTGCAATGTAAGTGACAAATGACCTTAAGAAGCTGCCTGTGCCTCTGAGGCCACATCTTGTTTTTGTTTGTTTGTTTTGGTTTTCCGAGACGGGTTTTCTCGGTATAGCTCTGGCTGTCCTGGAACTCACTCTGTAGAGCAGGCTGGTCTGGAACTCATAGAGATCCACCTGCCTCTGTCTCCCAAGTGCTGGGATTAACTGCATGCACCACCACCGCCTGAGGCCACATCTTCTACCACAACATGCCCAAAAGAACATGGGCCCATCTTAGTCGTGAGAGTCCCCTTAAAAAGCTGGGCCTTTCAAGGAATCTGCTAGGGCTTGGGATGTAGCTCAGTTGGTAGAGTTAATGACTGGCATGCAATGAAGCTCTGGGTTCTATTCAGAGTATTGCACAGAACTGGGCATGGGGACACAGGCCTGTAATCCCAGTCGGTGAGAGCAGGAGGATCATAAATTCAAGGTTATTCTCACCTATACAGTGAGTCCGAGGGCATCCTGGGCTACATGAGATTTTTTCTAGGGGGAAAACAGATTAAATACCCGTCTTTATCTTTGCTCAGATACTCTAGGGACCAGCAGGATTATGAATTTTTCTTTCAATGTCTACGAAACTGTCTTCGGCTTTTACGAAAACAATCCCCCTTTTAAGAGAAAGGGGAGGGAAAAAGGCAGGAAGTTTTGCAAAACTGCGTAACTAAACACATTGCTCTTACCCTTTAAGAGGGCGGAGTCGGCCTAAACATAAATATCGACCTTCCCTTTAAGGTACCCCTTCCGGTTTCCCGCTCACCGTTTCCCAAACGACTCCGCCCTCCGGCCCTTCCCCCACTGCGCCCTCCGGTCTCTCACCTGTGGCCCCGGTCGGGGAGGGGGATCAAAGAGAACCCCAGGGCCTTCCCGCGGGGGCTGACGGGAAGCGGGGCCCGGCACAGCGCTGCGGGAGCCGCGGCCCGGGAGGGGGCGGGGGCGCGCTCCCTCCCCACGGCCCCCGGCGCGAGGCACTCAACCTTTATCGGCGGCCTCTCGCGCACACAAACCCCGCCGCCGCCGCCGTGCGTCTTGACGCAACGCGCTGCGCCCAGCCGGCCCCACCCACTGCTGGGGTTTGCCAGCTTCAGGGTTCTAGGAGTTTCGGCCGTAGGCATGCGTGGCGTGGCGCTCAGATCTGGTTCCCTCCTGCTGGAAAGCAGTGCCCCAAACGCGGAAAACTGAGGCACGCAACCTTCCTATGTGGCTTGGGTTTCTGGGGAAGTCTGATCTGCCCCTGCTGGCATCTGCCTTCTCAGCATGGGCATGGATGTCATTGGGATCGATTATTTTTGTTATTTTAACTTTTTTTTTTTTTTTTTGAGACTACACGCTCATGTAAGGAGTCCAGTTGCGCCCCAGGCTGGCCTTGAATGTATAACCCTCTTGCCTCCACCTCCCCTGAGCTGGGATTCCAGGCGACCTTCTGCACACTCACTTGAGATCGTTTGGGCTCTGGTTGGTTGTTTTTAGTGGGAGCTGCCTTGCGCTTTAGTGTGGTCATCCGGCGCTCCAGCCTCTGCCCACTAGTTACCGGTGGAACTGCTAACTGTGCACACACATTTAATGACAGCCCAAGTGCGTTGAGACACTAAAGAAATCCGCAAGTCCTAGCCAGTACTGCAAGCCAAACACTGCGACTGTGGGCTTCCCACACCCCCCGCCCCAAATGCTTGGACTACAGGGGTGCACCAGCACACCACACTGGGCTTCTACAGTATTCTGTGCCCTTACCCAAAAGGCCCTTTTTGGGGGATGGGGGTTTGAGACAGGGTTTCTCTGAGGCCTTGGCTGTCCTAGAACTCTGTAGACCAGACTGTTCTAAAACTCAAAGAGATCTGCCTGCCTCTGCCTCCTGAGTGCTGGGATTACATGCGTGTGCCATCACTGTCAGGCTCCAAAAGGCCTTTCTAGCTCTAACCCACCTCTTGCTAAAAAAGAGCCACTGTAACCAGGGTCCTCTTGTCAGCAGCGAGGCGACAGACACTGCTCTACACCACAGTTGTCAGTAGCCCAAGGAGTTTCCCTTGACTTTTAGGGATCTTGATTTAGGCCACATCAGAGATGTGGCTTGGAGTCTACAACTATAGCTAGTATATGAAATGGATTCCATAACTATAGCCAGTATATTTGGTGGATTTGATGACTTTATTAAAAGATATTCTAATACAGGTTTAAGTACAAGGTTTAAGAAAGGATCTCAGAGTCAGGTGTGGTGGCACATGCCTTCAGTCCGAGCACTCAGGCGGTAGAGACAATCTCCCTGGCAATTGTGATTCTGTAAACGGTCACCCTCCCCTCTGGCTTTTACCCAATTCCGTAATGTCAAGGCATACCCCCCCCCCAGCTTTCTCTCATGGAAACATGAACCTCCCTGCTTGCTGCCATGGAAACCCCCTGCTCACAGACTTTTCCTTTAAAAACCCTGCTCACTCAGGGCTTGGGGTCCCACTTCTCTACTGCTGTGTCAGTAAAACCTGGGTCCCGAGTTCCATCGCTCTCGTAATAAAGCTATCTTGCTCTTGCATCGAGTCGTCTCCTAGTAGTCTCTGAGGGTCCCATGATCCTGGTATTACAGTAACTTTAAAAAGTCATGCAAAGGGCTGTGAGATGACTCAGCAGATACCGATGCTTGCCCAGTCTCATGATGGAGTTCAAGTCACATCCATATGGTGAAAGCGGAGAACCAACTGCCACAAGTTGTCCTCTGAGTCATGGCATACACATGCATGTACATACACACAAAATAAGTAGATAAATGTAATTTACATTTTTCCTTAATTTTCTTAGAGTGTGTGTGAGTGCTCTTCCAAAGAACCTGGCTTTGATTCCCAGCACCCACATAGTAGCTCACAACTGTCTGTAACTCTAGTTCCATGGAACCTGATGTCCTCTTCTGGCCTCCAGAGATACCAGGCACATAGGCACAGAGATAAGTGCAGACAAAACAGCCATATACATAAAATAAAAATAAATAAATATTTTCATTTAAGTTCAAAGTCTCTTCTAAGTCAAGGTGGTCCCTTAGGTGTGAGTCCCTGTACAGTAAAAAGGAAAGTTCCCTGATTCTGATATACAGCGACAGTAAACACTCTTGTTCTAAAATAGAGGAGTGAGCCAGGCAGCAGTAGTGGCTCAAGCCTTTAATCCCAACACTCAGGAGGCAGAGGCAGGAGGATCTCTGTGAGTTTGAGGTCGAGGTCAAGCTGGTCTACAAAGCGAGCCCAGGACTGCCAGGCCTACACAGAAAAAAAACGTGTCTTGAAAAACCTAAATTAATTAATTAATTAATTAAATAGAGGAATGGAAAGATAGAGAACAAAACAAAACCCAAACCCAGCAATACAAACATTAGATCCTATACTTACCGGCAGCATCAGGGCACATATATCCTGTGGGCTTTAATGCAGCACCATACATGGCCTCAGTGTTGGCTGTTTTGTCTCCATGCCACTTGGGTGTTTCCTCTCCATGCCACTTTCATTACCAAATGTTCTTTCTAGATTCTTGGTTTCTCCAACATCCTCAGGTTCCCATCACAACTTAGAGTTTACCTTAAGACTGGTCTAAAGGTCAGAAGTGTGCTGGCTTTGAAGACCAAGGGCCACAGACACAAGGAATTAACTCTCCCTTGTGAAACTGGAAGAGCCTTCTAAGCTTCTAAGCTTCAGCAAGATCACACCATCAGAGAAACCATCCTTACTGAAGCAGAATCCCTTTCCCATCCATCGCCCTGTCACTATGTAATTTGGGGGCCTTTGGAGATCCTTCTGAGCTGGCATTTTCTCATTTGCTTGTTTGTGGACATCTGCCTCTCAGATCCTGAGACACAGGAACAGACCATGGCCCTTGCATCCTGGGACTCTGCACATAAGTCTTCAATAAGTGTCAAGCGCCTGAATTCACGTCCCTACACCATTGTGAGCACTTAGGACAGCAAGAAAGAGAGCCTGATGAATTCCTAGCAGTATATGTGAGTGTACATATGAGTGTACATATGAGTGTTCAACGAACACTCCATGAAGCCGCTCCCCAGCCTTGGAGATTCTCACATAAAATGGGACAGGAGAGAAAAGGAATCCAGAACCTTGAGCTGGACCTCACAACGGCAGCATAGGCATTAGCGCCTCCTGGTGGAGCATCCCCAAGCTGCAAGCTGTGTGTGCTTAGGCAGGACATGGCTTGGGAACAGAGAAGCTTGTGGATGTTTCTCTTGGCTGCTTAAGATTCCAAGTTAGCTTCTGGAGCTGGGCTAGCAAGAATGCTGCCCTGGCTACAGTAGTGGTGACCCCTGACTGACCCTTGGAGTCTAAGCCTTTCATTTTACTCTCCAGAGACCTGAGAATACATTTCCAGCAACTCCTGATCAAGCAATACCAGCCCCCAACACACACACACACACACACACGCACACACACACACACACACACACACACACACACACACACACACACAC